TCTGTCAGATAACTTTGAATCGTAGACGCGACCGAGGCTCTTCACCGGTTCCTCCAGAACCGTAGGGATCTTGTTCCTTGCCACCGTAAAACTGATTGCCGAAACCTTGCCCTTATGGATTGACAGACTCCTCGACTTCTGCGGTTTAAACTGCATACCGCTCCATTGGACCACCGCGTCCAATCTTTCCAGGATCGTGCGGGCAGACTCCTCGCTGCCCGTTATAATAGTCGTGTCATCCAAAATGCGCGCAGTGGCGGCAACAGTGATCCCCTATTTGAAGGCCCAGTCCGTAGCCGGCCGCCCCGTCTAACATGATCTGCATTGCCATGACAAACAGTATAGGTGAGATCGTACAGCCCATAGCTATCCCAATCTGCAACTCAGTCCACCTCGTGGTAAACGTCGAGGTAGAGAAGCGCAAAGCGAACTTGGAGAAATATTGCTCGACCATTTGACTGATCTGTGTCGGTACGTGAAACATGCGAAGGGCTCGCCACAGTAGCCTATGGGGGACTGCCCCGAAGGCGTTGGCTAAGTCCAAACATATAACGTGCAAATCGGTTCTCTCATTCTCAATTGAACAGGCTTTGAGTTAATATCTGACATTGCCAGCAACATTCTCAATTGAACAGGCTTTGAGTTAATATCTGACATTGCCAGCAACATTCTCAATTGAACAGGCTTTGAGTTAATATCTTACATTGCCAGCAACATTCTCAATTGAACAGGCTTTGAGCTAATATCCGACATTGCCAGCAACATTCTCAATTGAACAGGCTTTGAGTTAATATCTGACATTGCCAGCAACATTCTCAATTGAACAGGCTTTGAGTTAATATCCGACACTGCCAGCAACATTCTCATTTTTGAGCCGGTTTTTTTTTCCGGGTAAATATCTGACACTCCCAGCACCATATTCCCGGCATTACGAAGCGCGTTCACAACTCCTAAACCACAGACACCAACATGGAACTAGAGCGAAGTTAACAGATGGAGAGGACGTGGAGTGAGCTGCATGCAGTAGTCAAGGACTGAACCACTTGGTGTCAGCTGGTTGGGAGACTATGCTCCATTGGGGGATAGAAGGTAGAAGAAAGGAAAAAAAGGGGGGGGGGGTGGGCTAGAAATTCCCTACCAAATCTCACAGCCACCGAGAAGTACCACACAGTATAGTCAGCATTGTTGGCAACACAGTATGGAGTCGACAATTTTTGGCAACATTGTATAGACAGCACTTGTTGGCAACACATTATAGACAGCACTTGTTGTCAACACATTATAGTCAGCATTTAATGGTAACACTGTTTAGTCAGCGATTGTAGGCAACACATTATAGTCAGCAATTATTGAGAACACTGTTTAGTCAACGATTGTTGGCAATACTGTATGGTCAGCAATTATTGGCGACACTATATATAGCCAACAGTTGTTGGCAACACAGTAAGGTGTCAACTATTGTTGGTAACACAGTATGGAGGTTTTTTTTTTTTTTAATCGATCACCGGCTGTGAATTCCAGTGGAAGGTCCCGGTTAATCGTCCGCTTGGACTTTTGGCTTTCACCTGGACCTGATTTTTGCGTGTACAACCGTTTTATCAACTATTGTTGTTGACACAATATAGTCAACAATTGTTAGTAACACAGTATAGAGTCAAATGTTGTTGGAACAACAGTAAAGACAGCAATTATTGGCAACAGGGTATAGTCAGCAGTTGTTGGCAACACAGTATGGAATAAACTAATATTGGCAGCATTCTATCTATAGTTAACAATTCTAATTGGGGTGGGATGAGCAATGCTTTATAGTCAGTTTTTGTGAGCAATGCTGTATTTACTTTGGAGCAGGTTTTGCTTAGACGATACCCTACTTGTCACGGTCTGATTGTCAGAGGAGAATATGACGCAAACGTTTCAACAATCGACACCACAAACAGGCGCGACCTTCACTGCGCCAATATTCTGGGGTGTGTGTTAGTTCCAGCCAAGCTTATCTCCGGCACGCGTTTTCTTTGCTGACCCTACTGGTAAAATTGCGATAGACGACAATGGTACATTTCTAGGGCGCTTGGCTGCACAACGAAGCGTGACGGCTGCTCCAGGACAGGTCCTCACGGCAAAGATTATGTTACCAAAGCACAGTTGGCATCACTTCCGCTTGGCAAATCTCTAATGGATTTACGAAGCAGACTTGGTCGTGAAGGGCATTCATAGAAAGTGGCTGAAATAAATGCCTATCATTTGCATCACATTTTGCATTATCAATTTATAATTAACAAGGTGTGTATGATAAGTATGTATGCGTGTATGTGTGGCATGTAAATGAGTGGTATGCATATGTAGGCGTGTTTGTGTATATGTGGTTTTGTGTATGTATGAGTTTTTGCATGGGTAAATGTATAAAACTGTGTGTGAGTGTGTGCGTCTTTTTTGTTTAAAAAAAAAATAAGATTCTTTTTCCACGCTTTTAGGCATATAGGGCTAGGCCTATATTTTTATAGACCAATCGGCACAAGATGGGTGATGTGGTCATCATCACACCGGCCGCCTTTACTTCCCGGGACTACACCCGGTACCCACTCAAGGTTGCATCGACCTGGGAGTCAAGGCCATTTTTGAAAAATCAGGCTCCGCCAGGGTGCGAACCCACGACCTTCTGATCCGTTGCGAGCGTCTAGCCGCTACACCACGTGTGTGTTGATGTGCGTGTCTGTGTATGTGTGTTTGAGTGTGTCTATAAGTCTGTGTACTTGTCTGTGTATGTGTATCTGCGTGTGTGTCTGTGTCTCTGTATGTGTGTGTCTGTTCATGCGTGTATGTGTTTGCGTGTGTGTCTATAAATGTATGTGGGTGTGTCTGTGTGCCTGTGTATTATGTATGTAGGTATGTATGTATTTATGTGTGTGTGTGTGTGTGTGTATGAATGAATGTATCTAGGTTTGTGTGTATGTATATGTATATATAGATATATATGTGGCATGTGTGTGTATATATGTATGCTGGTGTGTATGTAGGTATCTGGGTGTGTATACATGTGTGTGTAAGTGAGTGTGCATGTGAGTGTGTATGCGCGTGTATGTGCATGCAATTTACCATCGATGCTTTTGTATGTTCTTCCCCTCATATTCATAAGACGCATATTATTATTTGAAAACAACATGCTTTATGGATAAAATACAACTGCTGTGTGAAAGATGGGTGCTTGGAAGGGCCGAATGTAAGACAGGCCTGTGTGTCCAGTTTGTGACCCTTTGAAAATGAAATTCGTTCGTTGGTTCGCTCGTCCACTGTCGACTGGTGCCGGACCGGAACCGGACAGCTCAGGTCCATTCACCCCCTCCCCACTCCCCCAGAAATTGTTTTGTGGGGGAGGCTGAGGGTCCTCTTCCAGTAATTAAGATTAGAAAGTTGACACTGACTGGGTAGAAAGTTGACACTGACTGGGTAGAAAGTTGACACTGACTTGGTAGAAAGTTGACAATGACTGGGTAGAAAGTTGATACTGACTGGGTAGACAGTGACTGAGTAAAAGGTTGACACTGGCTGAGTATAGGTAGATAGTGACTGGGTAGAAAGTGACTGGGTAGAAAGGTGACAGTGACTGGGTAGAAAGTTGACACTGACTGGGTAGACAGTGACTGACTAGAAAGTTTACACTGACTGGGTAGACAGTTGACACTGACTTGAAGTCATTGACTGGGTAGAAAGTTGACAATGACTGGGTAGACAGTGACTGAGTAAAAGGTTGACACTGGCTGGGTAGACGGTGAATGGGTAGGCAGTGACTGGGTAGAAAGTTGACACTGACTGGGTAGACAGTGACTGGCTAGAAAGTTGACACTGACTGGGTAGACAGTTGACACTGACTTGGAAGTCAGTGACTGGGTAGAAAGTTGACAATGACTGGGTGTAAAGTCAACATTGACTGGGTACAAAGTTCTCACTGACTGGTTAGACGGCGACTGGGTGTAAAGTTTACACTGACTGGGTAGAAAGTTGACACTGACTGGGTAGACAGTGACTGGGTATAATGTTGACACTGAGTGGGTAGAAAGATGACACTGGCTGGGTAGACAGTGACTGGGTATAATGTTGACACTGGCTGGGTAGACAGTGACTGGGTGTAATGTTGACACTGAGTGGGTAGACAGTGACTGGGTAGAAAGTTGACACTGGCTGGGTAGACAGTGACTGGGTAGAAAGATGACACTGGCTTGGTAGACAGTGACTGGGTATAATGTTGACACTGAGTGCGTAGACAGTGAATGGGTAGAAAGATGACACTGGCTGGGTAGAAAGATGACACTGGCTGGGTAGAAAGATGACACTGGCTGGGTAGACAGTGACTGGGTAGAAAATTGACACTGGCTGGGTAGAAAGTTTACACTGACTGTGTAGAAAGTTTACACTGACTGAACAAACACTTTCTACTGACTGTCAAGCAGTCAACAGTAACTTTTCAGACAGTTAAAAGTGTCTATGTAGAGAAGTGGGCATTTATGGACACTACTAGCAAATTACATCTAGGGCACACATCGTGAAGAGCATAATCGCCCACGCCCGAGTGATCCATGAACCCTGTATAGATTAACGACTAATAAACCCGTTTGCCGACATGCCTTGTTTGCATATTTCGTAAGAGGTGAAGGATACGCTTTATAGTCTGTTTCTGTCGTTGAATTTGATTTGCACGAAAATTCTTATTGCAACTCATGTTTGAAGACTTTTCACAAAAATTATTTAACTTTAAAAACATAACTAACATAATTTACAATTAGTTCTTTGCTTAAATTGTATTATTATTGCATCAAAAGGTAGAACTGATGGCTTGAGACGATATTACTGCGAGGCGAAAACAGACTATAAAGCGACAGAGCCTAGGTGGCGCTGACGGCAGAGGAAGTCGTAACGGACTGAAGGTGACCGCAGGGAACTCGTTCATAAGTGACCGTCCGTTTTCTTGTGGCAGGCAGGGAGTTTCATTTTCATTTTCCTCAACCATGAAGACCGCACAGCAAATTCTGGCATGCATGTTATTCGTCGCACTTGCCATCGAAGAAGGTAAGTCAGGCCTCATTATCGCCTCGGTAAATAATCTTCGTTCAAGGAGAAGTTTCCTGAAAGTGGTCTCGTCTCTACTCTCGCCGTGACCTTGTTTAGTGTACAGGGTCTAATGGCTGCTTTCTCATACTCATGCATTAGTTAACAAATGTTTATATAGTTGTATACAGTACTCCATCCGTAATCGTTTAGGATCGTTTATTTGTTAATTCCCTTAAATATTTGATCCTAAATCGTTTAAAATAAGCTACAGTCGAGACTGGGATGTGGTGTGACAACCTCAAGTTCTGTGTGGGAATTTTGTATTTTGGTGTGTAACCGCTCCCCTTTCTCCCTGCCCCCACCACATGATTTATATTTATATCTACACAGAATTGACACACTGGTCAGAGCTAATAATAACGGTCTATTGGACGCCTGGTTCAGGATAGTGCCGCTCCCTGGTTGTTGAGCCATGCAAAAGAAACATGGACAGACAACCTGTCACTGTTGACATTGTCAAAGTCATTTCCTTACCATGAAGGTCATAGTCGCACAAGGAAGCGTCACAATGGTGGCCATAAAAGTCACTTGAGTCACAACCTTAACAAAGTGTTCTCTGGAGAAATGTTTCTCCTTGGCTATCCAACAGTCTCTCCCGGTTTGGGTTCCAGAGTCCCATTATAAGATGAAAAATAAGGATAGACCCATTCACCTGACAACCCAACAAGTTAAGTCATATAGGACATAATTAGGGATTTTTTCATTCTTCTTTTCGTGTTTACCACCTGAATGTTGCGTTTAACAGATCTGAATTATTTGTATACAGACTGCTGGTTCTTGCCTCTCGAAGAGATGCATTCTGACTTTGAAGGAATCTCCCAGTTAGACTCCAACATGCTGGCTATCCTCCTACAACATGCTGGCTATCCTCTGAATAACGGCAACATATTATGGCAGCCAAAAACACACCCCGACAGGGCCTCATTAGGTTGTGTATTGTAAACATTCATAAACTTAAACTCCGGGCTATCCTCCAAATGACGTCCTAAATTATTGAGGCAGAAAATATACCCTAACAGGGTCTCGGTCGCGTGTCAATTGCGCGCTTCCGGCATCTTCCACCACCGCCAAGAGTATCCCCTGCGCCACTCGCACGGCGTGGATTGGGGCTAAACTAGATGGCTGGGACTCACGACCAGCAGCTTCCTTCATTTAATTTTCTCGTGAGCCCTAGCCGAAAATCTGCTCTTTGTGGCTGTAACATCAGTGAAACTTTGCTAAATATAAATTGGAGCCGCACTGGCAATGCAATTGCCTCACCCCCCCCCCCCCCCAGAGGTGGGGGGGGGGGGGGGCGCTAAACTAGATGGCTGGGACTCACAAGCAAATTAATTGGAAGAAGTTGCAGGAGATGTAGTAGATGCTGGTCATGAGTTCCTGCCATCTAGTTTAGCACCCCATCAGCGCCGCGCGTAGTGGCCTGGGGGATACGCTCGGCAGTAAGTTTAATTGGAAGAACACTTTTCGCTAACCTGCGTCAGAGCATGTGGTCTTGTGTCGCCATTGTGTGTATTGTTGCGTTTCTCAAAAATGTCAACGGGCAGTAATTCTAGTTTGGCCGCAATGTTCATCGAAGCCTGCAATTTACACATGACTGAGGCCCTGTCAGGGTGTGTTTTTTGCAACCATAATATGTGAATTATGTGGCCGTTATTTGGAGGATAGCCAATATGCTTTAGGGAAGGCAGTGGGGCTGTTCTTGTTTTCCCATTCATTTAAATTGTGAGATCTGCAGAACCAAGTCTGCAAATAAGCTAGTTCTGTAACAACGGATGTGTACGCAGCACGCAAGTTCTGTAAAAAGGGAAAAGAAAGGGCCAGATGTGTACGAACAACCAGAAGCTGAAGTTTTGCTGGGATTGACAGTCGGTGAATGTGAAGATCAGTCAAACTATTACCAGTCTGTGACATATGGGTGTGGCTTGTTCTGGGGCCCCATTTTGGGAAAGAATAGAACCACTGAGCCTTAACAAGCACATGTGCCATCTCCACAATGAAGGTTGGTAATAGTGTACAGTAGCTTCTATCTTTGGGAATATTGTATGTACAATCCTATGTATGGCCTATATGCGTATATCGCTGCCTAGCTGTAAAACACAAACAGTATGCTACGTGCCGTATGAACATAGGTTTAGCTCCTAGCTTGTTTCACTGTTACATGCAACTTGTGACATCAGCTTGTTGGTGTCACATGACATGGCTGGTTATTTGTGGAGGGAATATGTCACATCTGTTCCCGACCAGTCAGATCATGGGCCTTATGATTACTTCCCCTAGAGTCTCGCACAGCTGGCGGCTATCCTCCGAATAACGGTCCCAAATTATTGACACTATGAAAATACCCTAACAGGGCCTGACTTATATGTAAATTGCGGACCTCTTTCCGGCAACTATACCGCCACCGCTGAGAGATCTCCTGCACTGTAGCTGCTGCTCATGAGTCAACCATCTAGTTGAGGCCCCCTCCACGTGGCATGGTGGAAACTATCGGCGGTGACATCAACTCTGCGGAAGCTTTTCTGCGGTATGCAGTATAGTTGACGGAAAGCAATTTACATACGGCTGATGCCCTGTTAGGGTATTTTCTTAGCCTTTATAATTTGGGGCTGTTATTCAGAGGAAAGCCCAATGGCTCTTATGTGTCATTCGGTCTCACTGAGGTAACTTTTTATTAGTTATCCTGGACATTCTGTTGTGAATTGTGTGGCCTATATTTTTTCAGCTGGACACAAGCCTTAACAAGAAGAGGCTGTTCTTATAGTAGTAAATACACACAATTAGAGAGAGGAGACTGCCCTGTCATAGATGGTGACTTGGAGAGGAGACTGCCCTGACATAGGTGGTGACTTGGAGAGGAGACTGGCCTGACATAGGTGGTGACTTGGAGAGGAGACTGCCCTGTCATAGGTGGTGACTTGGAGAGGAGACTGGCCTGTCATAGGTGGTGACTTGGAGAGGAGACTGCCCTGTCATAGGTGGTGACTTGGAGAGGAGACTGGCCTGACATAGGTGGTGACTTGGAGAGGAGACTGCCCTGACATAGGTGGTGACTTGGTGAGGAGACTGCCCTGTCATAGGTGGTGACTTGGAGACTGCCCTGACATAGGTGGTGACTTGGTGAGGAGACTGCCCTGTCATAGGTGGTGACTTGGAGAGGAGACTGGTCTGTCATAGGTGGTGACTTGGAGAGGAGACTGCCCTGACATAGGTGGTGACTGAAGAATTGGGGACTTGGAAGGAGCGTGCGTATGCTGTACTGAAAGATAAACACCAGAATTTATATTTTGAGGACCTATGTACATACACAATTTTTTATCCACGCCTGGCCAGTCCCTAGTTCTTGAAGCCATTTTGGGAGGCTGGTTTGTCCCACAAGGAAAATAAAACTGGAAAGGCGGACAGAAACGTAATGAGATGGGCACTTTTGTTGTGGAGATGGCCTAGAACTTTGTGACACCGGACTATTATACACTACAGAAGAGTTTTGCTGATGTTTAAAGTTCCTCTTTTGTCCTCTCAACTTGAACCCTGAACTCCCTGCATGGCTTCTGGGCTCCCATTTTGCAGGGAAAAACAACAGATCTAGTGCCCCGCTTATGAACATGACGTAAAAATCCACTAATCCCGAGTTGCATTAAATTGTATCTGCCTGCAAGATGAGAAACCAACAGTCTTCCGACAGCTACAGTCATCGCTGAGAGTATTTTCCCCCCCCCCCCCAGGCCGCTCACGCAGCGTGGATTGGGGCTGAACTAGATGGCTGGGACTCACGAGCAGCAGTTTTGCTTGTGAGTCCCAGCCTTCTAGTTCAGGGGTGGGGGATACTCGTGGCAGTAGTTGCCGGAAGTCCACAAATTAGGTCGCAGAAAGTTCGCAATTTACATGTGACTAAGGCCCTGTTTTTGGCCGCCATAATATGGGTCCGTTATTCAGAGAGTAGCCGAAAAAGCCAACCAGTTGAGAGTGGCTGGATTGACCTTGTTATGTACTGCTGTGTGTCTCACTGCTTTGGCCAATTTTTGTAACAGCACCGCATCGTAGCTGTCGTTCTGTCTTCCTGCCAGGCCCCCATTCTGAACTGCAGGATTTGGACCTCATCCATGCTCATGATTTGGTCCGCACTCAGAAAAGTAGCATTTTAAAGTTGTGATAGAACCTTACAGGTGAAACACAATTTACTGAACACAGATTCATGCACACATGAGTATACGTGACTCAGTATATGGTGACACTCAAACTTAGTAGAGGCAGTTAAGTTTACTGTCATTTTGTTGTTACATGTTTTTCTTCTCTTTGTCTATCTTTACAGTGTACTTAGTAATAAGTACAAAACAGGTGAGCAATAAACTTGACAGCTTTCTTGAACTCTGCCAGCCATTTTGGGTCACAACCAGTGTAAACTTTTGACACTTGACCCCTGTGACATTGGGCTGTCAGGATCTGGTTTCTGCCTGCTTACAGCTGCCACATCTACACGCTGTGCCCTTGCTCTGGGTCACCTTTGCTCCTTACACAATTATCACCTGTCTTTTTCATTCTTTTTTCTTCTCACCTTGCACTGCTGAAATCTTGGTCCTTTTTCTTAGGAAGCTTGCATTAAAATATTTTTGCAGTTGAAACACTTCCCCTAATGTTGTGGCAATCTGCTGTGGTGCTTCATTTTTGTTTTGAGATTGTTTTTGCTGAGAAAGAGTTTCTTAAAATTCATTATTATCATCAATCTCATAGCAGACATGGATTCTTCTCTTGTGTTAAGTCAAACCATCCTTGCATTTCTCCTGATGTTTGTGTCTTTCTCTTTACATCCTAAAGTTACCATTCATTTATTGTCATTTCTCTCTCTCTCTCTCTCTCTCTCTCTCTGTTTATCTATATATCACATTCTTCCCCTCCCCCCAGTCTCTTATTTAGCCATGTCTCACAGGTGGTGTTTATTTGCAGGCTGGTCCAATGAGGTGTCCCCAACTCCCGAGCCATTTTTTTGTCACAGCTGCAACAGTTTCACAAATCCAGACTGTGAGACAATCACAGATGACCGGTACAAGGTTCAGTGCAGCGCAAATCAGACGATATGCAGAAAAGTGGAACAGCACAGTAAGTTGTCACATTGTTTCCTGTAGAAGTTGTGTGAATGTATCTCAATGCAGTCTACCTGTCTGCTCATCTGTCAAGCTAGAGCACTAGATAGCTGGTTATGTATCCTCTGGGGCAGTTTACCTCATCACACAAAAAAGGGCTTGAACCAAACTTATCAAATGTGCTTTCTTCCAGCTCACTGCCACCTGCCCAGGGACTCTTGAGCTCTCCTCATCCGCTACAACAGGGAATCCAACTGGGGCCAGCATATCATTACCAGTTGTTCCCCGTGTGGGTTCCGGGGCCCTATTATAGGGAAAACAAGAATAGACCCACTGCCGACTGAAAAGCATGTCGTAAGTCAACTAATTGGTAGCTTCCTTCGAAGTTGGAGTGCATCTGCCTGAGAGGCAATGAACCAACAGTCTGCATTCAGGTGAATCAGATCTATAAAACTGATATACACTCACTCAGGTTCTGGGGCAGGGCTGCAGTTCAAGAGTCAACGAAAAACCAGAACTTTCTGCCAGAATTTCCAGCTGATGAACGCGAAGAAGAATATTATTATTACTAGGTGTATTGTTTCACAATCTTACTATGCTTGGACTTAGGCCTCTGGCCCATGAGGATCCCTGTTTTCAGTAATTTGGTCACTGATTAAATTTAGTAGCTCCACTCTCCAAGCACAGGACTGGTACTTAGCTTATTTGTGTGTCAAACATTTATTTGTGACCTAATGCTGAGAAGATACTAGATACATGATCAAGGGCACTGTTTACCCACTTTGAGAAAGTTTGTGTCTCAGGGGCGTGTCACTTCAACAGTCCGGGGAGATCATTCCATTAATTTGCTTCAGATATTGTTTTGAGGTTGGCTTAATACATTTAAACTGAATAAGCAATGATTGTTACAGAAATCATTTGTATGCTTTTTCTGTTGTCACAAATCTGACCTCAGCTGAGCTGGAGTCTTGCAACAATCACCCACAACTTGAAGCAATTTATTCTAACCCATATTTCAAATCAAGACATGATCATATTACAATTTTTTTCGTGTTGTGAGCTGCCTAAAAATATTGATCTTGTAGTTCTGAAAGCCAGATTGCATTGAACTTTTCGGCTGCATGTTTGATTTGGCAGATAGCAGCAAGTTTTCAAAGTCATCAAGTCTTTGTAGGTCATTTTCATATTCTCTAAATTGCAGCACTGTCCGTTTTAACTTTGGAATAGCTGTGAAGCATACCTTCTATTATACACACCATTTAGATCCCATACCTGACATGCTTCTATTATACACACCATTTAGATCCCATACCTGACATGCTTTTTTATACACACCATTTAGATCCCATACCTGACATGCTTCTGTTATACACACACATTTAGATCCCATACCTGACACCTCAGCTATACCTGACATGTTTCATTATACACACCTTTTAGTCTTGCAACTATTATCACCCACATTTAGATCCCTACCTGAATGTTTCCATTATACACACCACATTTATTTATTCTACACACCACATTTAGATTTCAACATATACACAGACATTTGATCATATATACAATTTTTTTACCTGACATGTTGATCCTATACCTGACATGCCTATTATAAGAACCTGACATATTGATCTTGATCCTATAGTTCTGAAAGCCAGATTGCATTGAACATTTTTCGGCTGACATGCTTCTATTATTTTAGATTTTGCAGATAGCAGCTATGTTTATACACACCACAAGATCTATCAAGTCTATTATTTTAGATCCACCTGACATTTCTATTATACACACCATTTAGATCCTATCTGAAATTGCATCCTATACCTGACATGCTTCCATTATATACACCACATTTAGATCCTATACTGACATGCTTCCATTATACACACCTTCTAGATCCTATACCTGACATGCTTCCATTATTAGACCACCATACCTATACATGCTTCTATTATACACACCACATTTAGATCCTATACCTGACATGCTTCCATTATATACACCACATTTAGATCCTATACCTGACATGCTTCCATTATACACACCTTTTAGATCCTATACCTGACATGCTTCTATTATACACACCACATTTAGATCCTATACCTGACACCATTTAGATCCCATACCTGACATGCTTCTATTATACACACCATTTAGATCCTATACCTGACATGTTTCCATTATACACACCATTTAGATCCCATACCTGACATGTTTCCATTATACACACCATTTAGATCCCATACCTGACATGTTTCCATTATACACACCATTTAGATTCCATTACTGACATACATTTAGATCCCATACCTGACATGCTTCATTTACACACCATTTAGATCCCATACCTGATCTATTATACACACCACATTTAGATCCTATACCTGACATGCTTCTATTATACATACCTGACATGCTTCCATTATACACACCACATTTAGATCCCATACCTGACATGCTTCCATTATACACACCATTTAGATCCTATACCTGACATGCTTCTATTATACACACCACATTTAGATCCTATACCTGACATGCTTCTATTATACACACCACATTTAGATCCTATACCTGACATGCTTCATTATATCACTACCTGACATGCTTCCATTATACACACCATTTAGATCCCAAATGTGGTCCATGAGCAGCAGACAGACATTGTTTATATTTGAATCTGAACTCAGATAATCCTGTGATTAGTTTGTCGAGTAGTTTGAACACTCACATAAATTGGAAAGGAGAACGTGAAATATGAGGTATCTAAGCGGAAGAGGTGGGATTTTTGACCCAGCCTGTATATAAGCATATTAATTTGCACGATTAATTGCACTCAACAGACAAGTAAACTGACATGTGTTTTTCAGTGTACTACAACAAGGACGACCATGTGAGAGTTTTCCGTCAGTGTGCTACACGGGGAACCCCTGGAGGCTGTGACTCCCGAACAGGAACATATCGCTTCAAGACCTGGTATTGCCACTGTCAAGGCAGTCTATGCAATGGTTCCAACAGTCTGTTGGCATCAGTAATGTTGACGGTCACTTTGATTTGTGCCAGTTTAGGGCTGAGAAAATGCTTGTGAAGATCAGTTTGACGTGTGTGCCAGTCTCCTAGTATGTCAGGTTATTGTTTTCTAATCTAGATTTTGTTTCTGGAAATCAGCCGCTGGTCGTGTCACATACATAGTTGTCAAATTCTACTTCTTGATGAATTTTTGAGTATTTTAAGCTCACCTACCTTGTATTATCTTAGCTATGTCTGAAAGTATTAAAGTATGTGCCTGTGCACAAACATACATCCAGTTAGAGAATTGTGACACTTGGGACTGGAACTGATATCAGCAGTGTTGGAGAAATGGTCACGGGAGATACAGTTGTAGCCAGGTGAAAGGTTTTTGTCAGAACTGAAGTGGAGATAAGAGCTCTATGCTTATCTGCCAGTTTGCCCAGTATGCTAGTGGCGATGTGGTTTTAAGACTGGCATGTCATTCCTGATCATAAGATGCAGGGGAGAGAAGTCATGTGGCAAACATTGCAGGTGTTTTTTGAGGTGTTCCAGAAACATGTAGTCTTCATGAATGAATCTCATAGCATGTGTGTCTGCTGTCTGTGTGGAAACTGAGGGGCTAGAAAACTTCTCATTGTAGGAATTTATTTACACATTTACTTGTCTTGTTCAATGCTTTTTATAATAAACATTCCTGCATAAAAGAGTGTTGTCACTTGTGTCAGTGGTCACCCCATTTCCACGATGTGGATCACAGCTCATGTTTCTGTTGTAATGAGGCCAATCATTGGAGCTAGACATTAATTGGTAACACCTAGCTAGTCTGGCTTGTTTATAGGGCACGTCAGTTTAACTACCGTGGCCTCAAATTTGTTGTTGAGCTAGAGATGTCTTGTTAACCCAACTGTGTGTATATTATGTTGATTCGAGGATATTATCTGAAATGGTTGTAGCCATTCATCCATGAGACTGACATTTTAAATCACATTTTTATATTCAAGAATTGAGGATATTCTTGTTTTCTGTGTCAACGAGAAGCTGCCAGTTGAGCTCTATACAGAGTGGATAGTACCTGGCCACTCTCAGCTTGTGTGTTGTCTTGGCAGACGTGAATGTGTAGTGTCTGTGTGGTGTGCGCAAACTAGAGTTGTATCTGAGGGGAGCTTGTTCAGTTTGTTTTAATGTCCTTGGGCCTTTGAATATTCAGATGTTCACAATTTTCACTATTTCTGGTATACCTGTTGTTTGCCAGACTGTTAGGTCATCCCACATTCAGTGTTGTAGTTTTTTGGACTAGTTTCACTTTGATAACAAATTGTTTTTTTCTAGCAATAGTTACTGTCTTTTATAATTAATATTTGAGATATCTGTATCTACATTATATTTATCACAAAAACCAAGTTATTTTTTTTTTTAAAATATTGATTGAATGTTTACTGTGAAGAGCTTTTTTTTTTTTTTAAATTGGCTTTGTTTTGCTGAAGCTTCATTTATAAACCTAACTTACTGTGTAGGTTTTATATAGGCTTTTTTTTTTTATATTAATTGTAGAGACAAACTTACTTTCTCATAGTCCTTGTATAGTGCATACACAAGCATACTTTCTCAATAGTCCTTGTATAGTGCATACACAAGCATAATATACTCATATAGTGGCGATAATGACACTGAGCTTGGTAGCTGACCCACGTCACTGACAGGCAAGTTTCAGCAGCTGCAAGTAAAGTTGTGGATCCTGCTTGATTTGTGAATATAGTTGGTTTTGCTAAGTTTATGGCTTCAGTAGTTTTGTTGCTTATCATGTGGGTATTTTCTGTCACATTTTGTTTGATGGTGAAGTCTGCATGTGACACTCCAGCAGATGCAAGTCTCACCGACTAGGACAGCAGTGCGTTGAAAGTCTTAGTACTTGTTTGATGCCAGGCAGTTTGACAGACTACTGCACAAGTATAGCAGTATACTTGCCTCCTGCAGTATGTCTCTCTTTGCCCTCTTCAAATTATCTCAGTAAGTTTCCATCACTTTGAAAATGCCTCAGACCTGAAACATTGTGTTGGCATCTGTTGCATGGACTTTGTCTACCACGCTTAAAGTGTTTGAGTTGTCAGTGGTAGTGGAGTAGGTCAACCTGCCTGGTTTCCATAGACGTAGCTCTTGTTTAAGAAGGTCAATGGTTCTGAAAACACAATATGTAGACTATGGGCCTGGTTTCCATAGACGTAGCTCTTGTTTGGGAAGGTCAGTGGTTCTGAAAACACACAATATGTAGACTATGGGCCTGGTTTCCATAGACGTAGCTCTTGTTTGGGAAGGTCAGTGGTTCTGAAAACACACAATATGTAGACTATGGGCTTCATTCATGAAGTCAGCAGTTCTTGTATGGGGCTCACAGAGGTTGGACATTTAACTCGCCCTTTCCATCCTGACATCATCAGCAGTTAGTCCTATTATTTGCTGAGATTATCCATTGTTGTTGTGGTGCCTGGTGACATTGAAGCTTACAAGTCTTATGTTTTGTATTCTTGAGATAGTATTTTTATTTGCCTGCATTTATTTGGTTGTGCTCTATTTGTGTGCAGCCCATATTTTGCCAACAATGAACCAGCCCACTGTTTTAGATGTGATAATACTTGTCTACATGAAAACTTGTTTCAGTGTTAGTTTGTGTTCTTGTCAAATAAACAGGATTTTACATTCACTTTGTTCATTTTTTACATTCCTTATCCTTTTGTGTGTGACTTAATCCCTCTGTTATCTTCTAGCTTTCATCTTTTACATTATGTGTGTCTTACATCTTACACCTTTTATTCTCCCGGTCCATATTTAACAAAAGAAAGGGAAAAGACTGGCAGGGAAAATAAAACAGATGAAACTGAGTTGTCAGTTTTGATCTGTACTGCACTGGTTGACTGTGATCTGTACTGCACTGGTTGACTGTGATCTGTACTGCACTGGTTGACTGTGATCTGTACTGCACTGGTTGACTGCCAGATAGGTCTTTGGGTACAGTCTTATTCTTATTGGGCTTGTTTAATCTCAAGCTGATTTATCATTGGCCTTTCTCTGAAGTAGTACAGCATAAATATGACTTGAACGCTCAGTTTGGAGGAAAGAAAAGACCTGCACGGCTTTGTAACCCACTTTTCAACCAGAGAGTCTTTAAAAACAGGCAAATCGATGAGAAGCAGGGCTAAGTCTTTTGTATGTTTAGTTGCTTGTTGGTGGCATCTTGACTGTACTGACATTGTTTGGTCTGCCTTTTGAAATCACAAACATTTCATATGTTCGTTAAAAATGAAGTGTTAACGCCTCCCAAACTGTGACCAGTTCAGGGGTTAAATTGTCATTTGCTGTTATGGGTATAATGAGTTGAGTCAAGAATGTACATCACAGCCCTCAGGGCATTTCCATGCATGCTCCGTTCTCATCTTCAGCAGCCAGTGCAGAGTTCCAACACTGATGGTACCGGTCACAATCTGGTTAAAAGTCTGTCTTGCCTTACCTCCGAGTGTAGTGAGCCTGCCAGACCCTCCGGTTACACCCAGGTGCCTCATTCTCTCCAGGCCATAATAATCTTGTTTCTCTCCTGATTCCGTTGCTTGTTCCCAAAGGGCCTGACCACATCTGCCTTGTCATGGAAAAATCACCACCCAGTGGTACGGATGCAGCCAATCTGTCTGCCTGCTCATTGCCCACCACGCCGGCATAGCCAGAAGAAAAGATCTAAAGTATGCTCACCACCCGTGACTTTTTCCAGTGAAGCTAGCCACTCTGCTCGAAGCATTTGTACTTTATCAAGCTTTTTAGCACATGCAAAATACTGCTGTGAAATCATTGACAGTCCAGAAACTAGATGTCACAACCAGAAGATGTTTTTACAGCCATGGTTCAACCTGTTTGCAAAGTCAGAAAATTCTAACAAAAATGGACACAGATCCGTACAATTGCAAATATAGTTTAATTAATAAGATAGTAGACTAAACAAGGTAAAAAGTTCTGAGAATATTACAGCCAGGCGTTCACGAAGCAAAAATGCTTTTTGCTACCACAGACCATACAACTGCAATAATGTGCAGAAATAAGAAGTAGATGAAGAAAATCAGAACTCTTTGATTCTGCCAGGGTACTTTGCGAAGACAGATCAATTTTCATAAAAAACTGCTGTGAACACAGCCTGTGAACAACCAGAAGTTTACAGCCCTGAAGCAGAAAATTCACAAAAATGTACAATTGCAAAAGAGAAGTAGATGAACAACCAGAAGTTTCTGTCAGAGTTTACAGCCAGTGTTCGCGAAGCAGAAAATTCACAGACCAAAATAATGTTATTAGAAGTACTTCTACAACAGAATTTCTATAGTGTTGCGTCAAAAATTAGTAAAGAGGAACAATGAGTGACAACTGCTGTGAGCAGGAGTTAGTAATTAAAAGCCAGAGTTTTTATGCAGTTTACCCAGAGCTCGCAAAAGAATCTTCACAACAAATTATCCACAGTGTACTTTGCACATATAATTTATGCAGTCAGTATGAAAGGCAATGAATACTTGCTGTTTAGTAAATAAACACAGTTTTTAGATACCCAGAGTTCCGCACCTGACACAACTGTCGATAGTGTGGTTGCACCACTAGATATGGCTTCTAAATTACCTGTTTGTATTTTCCCCAAAATTAGGATTTCTACATTCAAAGTAGAAAAAGAATAAACAGCCAGTTCCCAAAAGTCCAAACTACTGGCTAGAAACAGCGACACACACATCACTACACGACTGTCTTCCGTGAATTAAAATTGCTGTATATCCACTTCACAATATCCGCTTGTAGATTTGTAATACGAATACATTTAGAACACAGGACTTTGTAAGCATATTAAAATGTCACACAATGCAACATGGAAGCGCTTCCAGTAACCTATTTTCGAGGGGACTCCTCCAAAATGTACCGTGATTTAGTCGGATGGACAACAGGACCTGGTTTAAGCTGCCGAAATAAAACGTCAAGGTCTGAATTAAAATTTAGCAGTATAGAATACCTGGCATAGCCAAGGCAGCGGTTCCCAGCTTTTTCCAGAGATCACATTTTTTAGACACAATGTCGCTTGTGGCCCTACAAGAAAAGTCTTCATCAGTTGACATGATATTTAGTGGGTTTCAGCTAGGCTACGATTTTTGCATTTCGGCCTATTTCCAGCAAGTTCATAATTAGTCGCATTTTGCGACATGCATCTACTGGGTCTATTCTTTAACATATAAAATTGCCCCAAAAAACCCACTGATGTATATTAAAAAATCAGCAACTAACCACCTGCGAGGTTAGATATTTGAGAAACGCTGTGAACAAAACTAGAAGTGATTACGTGAGAAATTATTGGTACAACATCTATAATTAAATTGACTGAAAAATAAAGACTAAACTGGAACTCCAGTGAAATGTGACCAAAAAGCTTAACGAAATGGGGAAGCATGCACAAAAACAAACACGTTTTGGTCTTTGTCAAACATGAAGTGAACTACACAAACAACAGAGGAGAGTATTCAGATCTCTAAGGGGGGACTTGAGCAACGTTTAAAAAAAAAAAAATTTGATGTGGAGTGAAGGAAATAAAACAAACAACGGCAAAAAAATATCAGTCAAAAATATTTTTTAAAAAAAAATATTGTAAATATATAATATAATGGTAGGAATAAAAGAAATACAATGTTAATGATACTGACAAGAGACATAATAAAGTAATATTATGAAAGAAAAGAGTTACAGTTAAAAATGTGATAATAGTAAAACTGTTTAGATAAAGGTATGTTAGATACCACATGGACTAAGAACGCCAAGGCTGTGGATGAGACGATTTTCCAAAGTGAGGCGCGTGGTATGATCGCCAGAGCAAGATTTTAAAGCTGTGACAGATTTATTATCTTGATCTCTGTGGTCAGAGCTGCTAAAACGGAAACGGATTGGTTTAAATGTCTTCTGGTCAATATCGGAGAGGTGTTCCCGGAAACGATACGATCAGTTAGCTTTCTGCCAGTCTCCTCAATGTATCCCTTATTGCATCTTTTGCAGATTATGGCATAAATTACGTTGCTGGATTCACAAGTAAAATGTTCTCTAAATTTGGAAAGAACCATTAGGGAAACTGACCGAGAAGTCTGCACAACAAAAGGACATGTCTTGCACTGCAGTGAGCATTCAGTAGTCCCAAAAGGAAGTGCTGTGTGGATCGGTGAGAGTCGGCTTCGGACAAGTATGTCTTTAAGGTTGCGGTCGTGTCTATAAACTAATCTTGGCTTCTCACTAAAGATTATCTTGGTGTCCGGATCAGAGCGATGTCCAAATGGCGAAAGAATACTTTGGAAGCAACCATTTTGTTAGGATGAAAAGTTAAAATCAATTTGGATCCATCGCTGGTGGAATTACGTTTGGTAGAGAAAGCATCTCTCCTGGTGATTGTTAAAACTGTGTTGTTCAGAGCCTCTTGTAGAATGTGTTTCGTATAGAATAAGGGCACGGAAGAAATCAAAAAGTGCAACTGATCTATCAAAGAAGTCAGAAACATCAGAGCACAACCTGCGCAATCGAAGGTGCTGTGAATACGGAATATAATTTTTACACGGTAGTGGGTGAGACGACGTAAAGAGGAGATAATTATGAGATTCCGTAGGTTTATAGAAGGTTGTAGTCTTCAAACATGTGAAATCGAAACTGACCTTGATGTCACGAAAGTTTACTGTAGTGGTGGAGATCAGTGAGGTGAATTTGTTAGCCGGATTGAAATTGTTGATGTAAGTGATGAATTGGTCAAGCTCAACCTTAGACACTTCGGTGATACCAACGCCATCATCATGTATCTCCTATACACCTCCGGGTATGATAAACTTTGCCCGGGTGTGATAAACTGACCTCCTATTCTAGATGGCACCCGTAACTGGGACCCATCTTGGTGCCCATCGCGACTCCACTGATCTTGTCGAAATACTCACCATTGAACTCAAAAGAGTTGAAGGTCAGTACCAGTTCGGCAAGGCGTACAAGAACTGAAGTAGGCATGATCGACTTTCTGTCCAAAAAGAACTGGAGTGCCCTAAGACCATCAGAGTGAGGGATAGACGTATAGAGGAAGCATTAGTCCTATCAGGAAAAGATGATAGGTTTTATCGCGAAGTAGCCTGATGGATCCGAAAATGTTGAGGGCATGGTTGGTGACTTTGACAAATGAAGGGAGACTGGTGACAATCGGTTGGAAAATACTATCTAAAAATTCAGAAAGATACACCGTGGGACAGGAGCACGCAGATACAATGGGACGTCCAGGGTTGTTGGGCTTATGGATCTTAGGCAGCAATTACTACACGGTTGAGTTGAGTAGAGTCAGGAATAATTGACATCACAGCACTTGGGACATTCCCATGCATGCTCCGACCTCATTTTCAACAGCCAGCAGAGTGGTGACGGTTTGCCGAATTGGCTGTCAAAAACGCGCACATTTTTGGCCTGTTTTGGACGATTCCCTTGTGAAATAAATGATTTTTACGGGTTCTTGACTTTCTTGTTAAAGATTGCGTGGTCGTCACTTCTGGCGGAATAGAAAACGGGTTTCCGAGTTGGGTGCTGGCTACCTAATACAAAGATCCTTCCTCCAAACCACCACAGCTCCCCCTTTGTCAGCTGATTTTTTTTAACAATATCGTCCCTCTTTCTAAGGGAGGAAAGTGCCCGTCATTCACCTTTGGAGAGGTTGGATTTAGGTAAAGGCCGTTGTTCCAACTGTTGGATAGTATAGAGCGTGTGGCTGATGTATAAGATCAAGCGCCATAGATTTACGAGCAGGAGAAGTCCTCTGTGAACGGGATTTGTTGGCGTTGAAAGGAATGAAGTCTCGTCAACAGGCACCGTGGGGGCGGGTGGTTGACCCCTGTGATGATGTTTTAGACGGCGATGGAAGGAGTGTGCATCCTGGAGGAGAGTGTATTTGTCAACACGTGGTCTTAGAGGAACACATTTCGGCACTCTTCAGATTAACGGTCCCTTATTATTCAAAGACAAAAAATCCCATTCAGGGCCTCAAGAGGTCGTTGTTAGGGACTTGAGAGGTCATGTAGTTAAAAATATGGAACAGGAACACTACGAACTATGCTTTCTTTTATTATATAATTTGCCCAAAGTTCAAACCTTTACTAAAAAGGGAAGGTTCATCATCGAACTAAACTGGTTTGCCCATTTAATGAGAATGAATCACAACATGAGCATAGAACCTGAAAGAAAACACCCTTAGTTAGGGGTTAGTCTTACTGACTGAGTCATTAGACATGTTGGACGCATAGCCCTACCCTGGCTCTATATAACCCAGCCTATTCGTTGAACGGGGTTTCTTTGGCCTGTCCCCGGGTGACCAGTTGAAGTGGTGGCACTTTGTTTCACTGGGTGTTTGTGGCCCAGTGTGATAGTCTGGTGGAGTGGAATGTCATCATCATCATCACAGGTAGGGGACGACCAAGAGAAGATTGGTTGAAGGAGTCATTGAAACTTTGAGGCTCTTCAACATCACAGTATACCAGGCAACCGAGCGTGCCCTAGCTCGGACAAAAATCACCTGTTGAGCTGCGACACTTAGCAGAACATGGGCAAGATTGAGTTGACCGTCACAGTTTGATGCTCCACACGAGACGTGGCGCCAACCTAAGAGATTATATACTGGCAGGTTTAGTTTCAACCGTACACATTTTAAAGGCAAAAGTTAGAGGGGGCAGAGGCGCTCAAGGTGCTAGCTACTAGTTGAAGTTTATAATGATGATACAACTGCTGAAGGCAAATAAAATAATAAATGTATTTGAAATATTATGAAATGCATGAACAAATAGATACCAGAGGATGGTGTTCTGATAGCGAGAATCACAACCACCTCCACCTCCTCCAACCGTATAGTTAAACACGGCTTGCTGGGATGTGGACAGGTAGGATTCTCGTCCGTGCAGTGCAACTCCTGGGACTGCAATTCTAGAGGGGACAAACTGGAGCGGCATCTCGCAATTTTCTCAAGCTATAAATCGATAAGCTGTGATGGCCGAGTGGTTAAGGCGTTGGACTTGAAATCCAATGGGTTCTACCCGCGCAGGCTCGAATCCTGCTCGCAGCGATTTTTTTTATTTTAAACTGTACGATTTAAAAGGGGAATTATTTTCCTTAAACAGCGGATATACTATTTATAAATAATGACTTATTACATTAATTTTTGTTTATGCCCTTTTACAGAATGCGGACGATAACAAGAAAAAGATTACCTGTGTATTAATCCAAGAATCAAAATCAAGTCAGAGATTAACGATTTTTTTTTTTTAACGTATCCAGAAACCATGAGTTGTAAACCCTTTGGCTCGGTACTATGGATATCGCAACCCTTCGGCATTGATTCCATTATAGGTACTGTTAATCTGGGAGAAATGTGGCTTTTCTAAGAAATGTGCAGTTGTAGAAGGAAATGGCACCCATAAAGAATATACGTTCATTAGGCAGTACTAGAAGAAGCTGTAGAAATTAACATAAAAATGCATTTGTTTTTCAATTACTTTTCCCTTGGAGCGTGGGTTACTTGGCAAATGCATGGTTTCCTAATATAATTCTTTTACGCAGGCATCGAAATCTATTGCCCCCACCCCTTCACTCCCCATCAAAAATGTGCAAGGCGGATAAGTGGCCACTTAGCAATGTGTATTATTTTTTTTAAGTATTTATTTTCATACTTAACATTATTTTAGATATATTTATTTTCTATTTAATACGTAATTTATATTGTTATTGCGCACTGAAAAAAAAGGGGGGGGGGGGGGTATAATAAAAGCCTTTAAAACACGAGGAACTAAAAAAAATTTCTAGGGTTCCTGGGCCCAATTGTGGGGAAAACAAGAATAGACCCACTGCCTACCCAAAAGCATGTCGTAAGAGTCGACTTAACTGGCGAGCTTCCTTTGAAGTCGGAGTGCATCTGCCCGAGAGGCAAGAAACCAGCATTCTGTATTCAAGAGAATGAGATCTGTAAAACTGATGCACATGCAACACTCAGGTTCTGGAGCAGGACTGCAGTTCAGTAGTGGACGAGCAACCAGAACCTTCCACCAGAGTTTACAGCTGGTGAACGCGATGAAGAAGAAGAAGAAAATAAAAGGTTAAAACAAATGATCTTTAAGTGTAGACGAAAAAAAAAAAAAAAAAACCCCCACCACGAAACGGAAACACCCAACATTGAAATTGATGGCCTTAGAATACAAAGAAAACTCAAACCTGATTACTTAGGATGTGACCCGACAAGCAAATGTTGATGTGTTATTTTGTGACTAACAATTTTATCATTTCCCTCTCGTTGTAGTTCTTTTTAGCGTGCACTAGATTTTGTGAACTTGCATTTATTTATTATAGTCCTTTAAATTTGAACGTATTGTAAGGAAACAAACATTAAAATGAATGTTTCCAGACTGACTGTGAAAATCTAAAAAAGGCAAAATTAATCGCTGCGAGCAGGATTCGAACCTGCGCGGGTAAAACCCATTGGATTTCAAGTCCAACGCCTTAACCACTCGGCCATCGCAGCCTAGTAAATACCTTATAACTATATTTAACATATAAGGACGCTTTCTCCGATCTCTAGCGTTGGAGTCTAGGATGGTTGACCCTACTCTGCTGTCCAGAGTTGCCACTTTGCATGTTTTACATCCATATTTAGATGTTGTCCCTTGCATTTAGATGGCGTTTTTGACGTTTAGATGGTAGATGTCTTTCTGTTTTTCATTTGGAGTGAATTTATCAAATCTAACTCAAGAAACAAGATGCTATTTGACCTTCTAAATACTATCTTGACAATAAAATTCGGCCTGATAAGAGTAGGATAAGGATGTTTAACTTATCAGCTTCCTGATTGGGTATTAAAAGAAATTGGAACAACTAAAGCATACCTGAGTTATTTTGGATCTGAAGCTTCAACTTTATCATCCAAGCTAAGTTTATCCTGTGGATCTTGTAAGGCAGACTTGAGTAAAGATGAGGACATGATTCTATAGGGTAAGTCATATCAATAGCTACTTAATTTGTGACTCTTTCCATTTAGATGGGGGTTTTTTTTTCCCACGCAAGTGTAGATGTTTTTAAATACTTTTTGACTCCGTTTTGGATGTTTTTTTTTTTTTTGTCAAAGAAAAGTGGCAACACACCCCTTCACCCAGGCTTTCAAGAACACATGGCCTGTATCATTAAAAATGTACAAGAAGAGGAAGTTCTGCACTCAAAGAAAATTAATCACGAAAACACAAGACGACAGCGTGACAAGACGTTGGCAACATACTTGAGAAGGTGCCACACCATCTTTACATTAGCTGTTACACATCGTCACCTTGTCGAATCCAACGCAAATGGTTGGATCAATGTAGCTGGTAGAGAATCACTGTCGTCTGGAAAGGTGACATTGTCAACAAAACCCATTAAAACAAACAAGAAAAACAGATATTTAGTGAGAAAGTGAGTGCTGAAGAATTCTTGAAAGAAACTGACTCACGTAGAGAACTGATAGCCAACAACAGAAAGAGACAGTCTACATTCTTTGGTCATGTGATGAGGTGCCGAGAAACTATGAGCTGGAGTATCTTGTGCCGTAGGAAACTGGAGGATGGCTAGAGGGAGAGAATAGGTGACAGTTTAACATTATAGAGGGTGTCAGAGTTGATTGAAAGATGGAGTTGTGGTGCCGTGACTACGTCCCAAGGCAGAGGCGGGCAAACCGTGTTACTCAGCACGGCACTTTGTTGCTGAGACTTCACCTTTAAACAAAAAAGTATATTAGCACACCCCGCCCCCCCCCCCCACCCCCTTTTGTTGCAATTTAAAAGTGCAAAAGAGCTGTTGAGTAGATGAGAAAGAAGGTAAAAAAAAAAAAAAACGGTTTGTTGGCAATGTCACCTTTGATAGCGTGACTATGGCGGGTGCCGTGACTATGGAGGGTGCCGTGACTATGGCGGGTGCCGTGACTATGGCGGGTGCCGTGACTATTTCGTTGTGCCGGTGACTATGGCGGGTGCCGTGACTATGGCGGGTGCCGTGACTATGGCGGGTGCCGTGTCTATGGCGGGTGCCGTGACTATGGCGGGTGCCGTGTCTATGGCGGGTGCCGTGACTATGGCGGGTGCCGTGACTATGGCGGGTGCCGTGACTATGGAGGGTGCCGTGACTATGGAGGGTGCCGTGACTATGGCGGGTGCCGTGACTATGGAGGGTGCCGTGACTATGGCGGGTGCCGTGACTATGGAGGGTGCCGTGACTATGGCGGGTGCCGTGACTATGGCGGGTGCCGTGACTATGGAGGGTGCCGTGACTATGGCGGGTGCCGTGACTATGCATGATGGTGAGGGTGCTGTGGAGGGTGCCGTGACTATGGCGGGTGTCGTGACTATGGAGGGTGCCGTGACTATGGCGGGTACTATGGGGTGCCGTGACTATCGGATGGGGGTGCGTGTGACTATGGCGGGTGCCGTGTGACTGCTCGTGACGGGTGCTGTGACTATGGCGGGTGCCGTGACTATGGAGGGGTGCGGTGTGACTATGGAGGTGGCCGATGACTATGGCGGCCGTGACTATGGAGGGTGCGCGTGACTATGGATGGGGGTGACTATGGAGGTGCCGTGACTATGGAGGGTGCCGTGACTATGGCGGGTGCCGTGACTATGGAGCTGCGTGACTATGGCGGGTTGCCGTGACTATGGAGGGTGCCGGACTATGGCGTGTCGGGTGCAGTGATTATGGAGGGTGCCGTGACTATATGGAGGGTGCGGGTGTCGTGACTATGGAGGGTGGGTGCCGTGACTATGGCGGGTGCGGTGCGTGACTATGGAGGGGTGCCGTGACGTTATGGAGGGTGCCGTGACTATGGCGGGTTGCCGTGACTATGGCCCCCCACCCCCCTGTTTTGTTGACCTTCAAATGCAAAAGGGTGTCGTGACTATGGACGGGTGCAATGTGACTATGACGCGGGTGCCGTGACTATGGATGGGGGTGCCGTGACTATGGAGGGTGCCCGTGGACTATGGCGGGTGTCGTGACTATGGAGGGTGCCGTGACTATGGCGGGTGCCGTGACGGGTGGATGGGGTGCCGTGACTATGGCGGGTGTCGTGACTATGGAGGGTATGAGACTATGACGGTGTTCGTGACTATGGAGGGTGCCGTGACTATGGATTGGTGCCGTGACTATGGCGGGTGCCGTGACTATGGAGGGTGCCGTGACTATATGACTATGGAGGGGGCTCGTGACTATGGCGGGTGACTATGGCGGGCGGCCGTGACTAGGAGGGTGCCGTGACTATGGAGGGTGTCGTGACTATGGCGGGTGCCGTGACTATGGAGGGTGCCGTGACTATGGCGGGTGTCGTGACTATGGAGGGTGTCGTGACTATGACGGGTGCCGTGACTATGGAGGGACTATGACGGGTGCTGTGACTATGACGGGTGCTGTGACTATGGCGGGTGCCGTGACTATGACGGGTGCTGTGACTATGGCGGGTGTCGTGACTATGGAGGGTGCCGTGACTATGGCGGGTGCCGTGACTATGGAGGGTGCCGTGACTATGGAGGGTGCCGTGACTATGGAGGGTGTTGTGACTATGGAGGGTGCCGTGACTATGGAGGGTGCCGTGACTATGGAGGGTGCCGTGACTATGGAGGGTGCCGTGACTATGGCGGGTGCTGTGACTATGGAGGGTGCCGTGACTATGGAGGGTGCCGTGACTATGGCGGGTGCCGTGACTATGGAGGGTGCCGTGACTATGGAGGGTGCCGTGACTATGGCGGGTGCCGTGACTATGGCGGGTGTCGTGACTATAAAGGGTGTCGTGACTATGACGGGTGCTGTGACTATGGCGGGTGTCGTGACTATGGAGGGTGTCGTGACTATGGCGGGTGCTGTGACTATGGCGGGTGCCGTGACTATGGAGGGTGTCGTGACTATGGAGGGTGTCGTGACTATGGAGGGTGCCGTGACTATGGCGGGTGCTGTGACTATGGCGGGTGCCGTGACTATGGAGGGTGTCGTGACTATGGAGGGTGTCGTGACTATGGAGGGTGTCGTGACTATGGCGGGTGTCGTGACTATGGCGGGTGTCGTGACTATGGCGGGTGTCGTGACTATGGAGGGTGCCGTGACTATGGCGGGTGCCGTGACTATGGCGGGTGTCGTGACTATGGCGGGTGTAGCCACTGGCGTTAAGAAAGGTTTTCCACAATCAGGGCATGCGGTTTCAGGACATCGCCAGTCACGTGACTCTATGTTCTAGCCGCGAGACGTCCACCTGTTAACCCCATCTACTTACTGCAACTGGGGCGCTGCGTGGTCTCGACGCATGTTGTCCGCCTCCAGTGCTAGGGGTTCCGGGTTCAATCCCCGGGAAGGGCTGGGACATTTTAACGTCGATGTGGACTTCTAGTAATTCTCCCTTGTCTCTGGGTAGTAAGATCAGACGCCCGTGTGCATTGTGGCGCGCGTAAAAAATCCCTTGACAGTTGGAAATCGAAAAGAGTAACTTAACGTCACTGCCCGGGCAAACTTTTAAAGTTAAAAATCTACCCAAGTATTTTTGGATCCTCGCCAGTGCTACAGAGCCTGTGCACTGTGCTCAGCTTCTTTGGACTCATACTTGAATTTGAAGAGGAACGGGGCACTTATAGGTACTACCCGTGTGCCATGATGTTGATCCGTTGTTCAAACCTTCAAATATTTTCGTCTGTAATTTCCGATTCTCTTCCTGTTTTTGCTTTGTTCCTCCAGGCAATATGTTCCATAATATTTCGTTCCCATGAATCACTCTCAATGTCTGTATCGTTCATGTTCCTCTTGCACCTATTTTTATATGGTAATAGAGGCCGACTTCTTCTACCCATCTGTACTTCCCCACTGAGGACGTTCTTAGAGAGATTGCCATCCTCCAGGTGTCACCGAGCTTTCCGAAACTGAGCACTGAGACAACCTGTGGTACCCGCCCGTTTAAGTACCTCCGATTTTGTAATTTTGTCTTGCCACTTAATGCCAGAATTCTGTTCACGCATCGCATGTAAAGAGGCTATTTAGCGTTGTCTTCTCTGAGTGGTAATTATTTACTAACTGTCCAGGATGTTACAGCAGGTTGTAGGCCTCTGTCACAGGCTAGAGATCTCCAGGGTGTTACAGCAGGTTGTAGGCCTCTGTCACAGGCTAGAGATCTCCAGGATGTTACAGCAGGTTGTAGGCCTCTGTCACAGGCTAGAGATCTCCAGGGTGTTACAGCAGGTTGTAGGCCTCTGTCACAGGCTAGAGATCTCCAGGATGTTACAGCAGGTTGTAGGCCTCTTTCACAGGCAGGAGATCTCCAGGGTGTTACAGCAGGTTGTAGGCCTCTGTCACAGGTAAAAGATCTCCAGGATGTTACAGCAGGTTGTAGGCCTCTGTCACAGGCTAGAGATCTCCAGGGTGTTACAGCAGGTTGTAGGCCTCTGTCACAGGCTAGAGATCTCCAGGGTGTTACAGCAGGTTGTAGGCCTCTGTCACATGCTAGAGATCTCCAGGATGTTACAGCAGGTTGTAGGCCTCTGTGACAGGCTAGAGATCTCCAGGGTGTTACAGCAGGTTGTAGGCCTCTTTCACAGGCAGGAGATCTCCAGGGTGTTACAGCAGGTTGTAGGCCTCTGTCACATGTAAAAGATCTCCAGGATGTTACAGCAGGTTGTAGGCCTCTGTCACAGGCAAGAGATCGCCAGGATGTTACAGCAGGTTGTAGGCCTCTGTCACAGGCAGATCTCCATGATGTTACAGCAGGTTGTAGGCCTCTGTCACAGGCTAGAGATCTCCAGGATGTTACAGCAGGTTGTAGGCCTCTGTCACAGGCAGATCTCCATGATGTTACAGCAGGTTGTAGGCCTCTGTCACAGGCTAGAGATCCCCATGATGTTACAGCAGGTTGTAGGCCTCTGTCACAGGCAGGAGATCTCCATGATGTTACAGCAGGTTGTAGGCCTCTGTCACAGGCAGGAGATCTCCAGGGTGTTACAGCAGGTTGTAGGCCTCTGTCACAGGCTAGAGAGCTCTCACACACATCTCCGATGATAAGAAATAAAGGTATTACGTTTGATGTTTTTCACTGCATAACATTATGTTTCTGCTTGTCTCCTTTGTCCTATGTTATCCAAGTGGCGAGTTAGTTGCACTTCTGTGCAGTTGGCTGATGAGTGCTAAGTTTTCCATACATGAGGTTTCTTGGCACTGCATCTCTAGAAGCCACCAGCTCGTGAAATTAACTCGTGAAATTACACTGTGATCTTCGAGCACACCTGTACAGGATAGGCATAAACGAATCTGCTGCCTGTGATTGTGGAGCAGAAAGACGGACCCCTGAACACACACTGCAGTACTGCCCTTACCTCTCCCAGCAAAGACTGTGGATCTGGCCCAAGGGATCCACATTGCAAGAGAAGCTATGGGGGACCGGTGGCGACCTCAAACGCACAATCCTATTTGTGACCCAGACGGGACTCAATGTTTAGCATGACTAATGTCGAACGCAGAAAAAGAAGAAGAACTCGTGAAATTCCTTGCGTTCTGTTTAGGTTTCTGACGGCCATTGCCCGCAGTGCAAGAAGTAAATATACAACAGAAGTTTTGATGGGGGTTCCGTAAAATCAGCATACAACCTACTGGCAATCGAGGTAAGGTACAAGTTTAACCATTATACACAGCACAATGGCCTTAACTCCCCCTGATGCAAGTGACTGAACTCAGAGCCCGCCCTCAGGGAAACCAAACGTGAGATCACAAGACAACTAGATACTGGCTTTTAGGAGAACAGCCCCATTTAACCGTTGCTGCTCTGGTTATTTTCTGTCCTTTTATTAAACTTGTCCATGGTTCATTCGAGTTTAGAAGTGAAGTTTTCTGCACTATGGGGTAACTGGTCCCATGTCATTCCGTTCTAGTGATCTCTCACATCGCATTTGGGCAAGTTACACTGTGATCACTGCTTGCGTCCTCACTGGTTACACATGGATGGTTTGACAACACTGAGAAGAGGAAATCTAGAACATATTTGGTCCTATTTACATTTTCTGCCCCAGAAAGAGAGTGACTTCCCTTGCCATTCATAAATCACCATGTTGCTGGGCTTCTCCTATGTTGCGGTGGTGTTGAGCTTAGTGACCGGCACGTATAATTTTACTAGTTGTTTTTCCGGCCAGCGATATCGCGTATGATATATTCCAGGATGTGACACTTTTAAAGGTCCCAAAACATGCAGATCTGGCCCTAACCCCAAACACGACTGCATGCAGCGTAGGTCGCACAACTGTATGCATCATATATAATAGGCTGCAGGCAGTCGTGGGATGTAGGGTACTTAGGTTTCGGGCCAATTCTGCATGTTTTGGGACCATATCGCTGGTCGGTGCACGACAAAGCACAACACCCCTGCAACATAGGATAAGCCCTACGACAAGGTCATTTATGAATGGCAAGGGAAGTAACTCTCTTTCTGGGCCAGAATATGTAAATAGGACCACATATTTAACAAACTTAAAAGATAACGGGAAAGGAGAGGAGGGGTGACCTAATAAAGAGGGAAACTTAGAGAATCATGACAACACTGTCTTGATGTGATGCCGAGACTGCAGCAGACAATGGTGAGCATGACTGCCCAGTTCTCTCTGTCATCAGATGTTTTGATAAAGTTTGGTTTTGCTAACTTTATTATATGTTGTCCAGATGTTTAATTGTTCCAAATACATCCTTCTCCATATTACTCTGGGTACTGCTATATTTATTCTCAGAATATCTTGGACAAAGAAGAGGAGAAATACTGACATCTTGAAAGATCTGAACATCAAGGAAAATTGGCTAATAAACAGCATCCTGTCTCGGAAGCTGAAATATTTTGGTTATATCAAGCGCCACGACGGACTGGAAAAAATTATAGCAGAAGGCATGATACCAACCAACACAAAGATGGACACAGGATATAAATGACTTCTTAAGTATGAAAGTACATGAGGCCGAAGAACTGGCGAGAGACCAATTTTCTTTTAGGCAGACTGCGATGAGAGCGACGTTCTGCAAAGGCCCTGCTACATGATGATGATGACTGGTATATTTATTTGTACATGTCAGTGTCAAAAACACTGAATATTTAGTAATAAGTAAAGTAAAGTTCTCTTTTCACGCCTTTCGGCGCATAGGGCATATGGGCAGAGCGTCCCATATTTTTACAGACCATCAGCACTCTGTGGGTAATGTGGTCAGCATTACGCCGGCTGTCTTTACTTTTCCAGGACAGCCCATCCTGGTACCCATTTTAGGCTGGGTCGACCTGCGACGTCCCATACCACAACAAAAATCCACGCAGCCTGCAGTGGGTTTCGATCGCGGTATGCTGGCTTACGTGTCGGACTCGCAACGCCTTAGCCACGGACGCCACACTGAATATTTAGGCTCCATAATAAACAGAAATGGAGACTGTTCAACAGTATTCCCAAGGAGGATGGCCACAGCAAATCAAAATATGACACAACATTAAAAGTCTTTTCTTAAGCAGCAGCAAGGAAATCAAAGTCAACACTCGGATAGCATGCATCTTTCCTGTAGCAACATATAGAGGAGTCGTGCACTGTCTCCCAGTCCTTGAGACAGATTCACAAACAGAAATAAACCAAACAGAAAAAAACCAAACAGAAACAAACCAAACAGAAATAAACCAAACAGTTGATGCATAGTTATTTAATAAGTTAATTGCTCATCAGCCGAAGCCAAACAAATAGAGGACATTTCATCAAAAATAAATCTACAAAAAACAATGTTAGTCATGTTTACATTACCACAAGTGTGGGCGACTACTGGTGTTAGGACATGTGTAGTGGGTCCCTGAAGACTTGACATTTAAGGGTCACGACATGTGTAGTTGGTTACTGGTAGTTGTAGACCTTTATATGGGGCCATGTTTTTAATTAGCAAACATAATTCATTAGTACCAAACAGACAACAGAAAAAATTAGAACTAAGGGCAAACAGATGGAAGAATTAATGACAGGCAATAATACAAACAGGGAGAACAGGCAACATTTAGAACATAGCATCAGGAAAATGAGATCATGACTTTTGTAGTGAAAATATGAATTGCCTGCAAACACAGGGAACTAATGTAAGCAGACAAAGGGAACTGATGTTAGCAGACATTGAGAACTGATGTTAGCAGA